ATACACTTAGCGTGCGCGCCACAGCGAAGCCCTACGGAGGGTCCCTAAGTGCAGGTAACGCAACCATACGAACGAGGGTGAAGCTAAGTTCGAAAGTCCTCTCCGTCCGGCGGGTTTCCTCCGGGAGATTTGCCTTGCTTTAATGCAAAGGATGGCGGGCTAAGTGGTGAATTGACATCGACCAGAAGGGAGCTACTCCTACTGGGTTCAGTCATGCGCGTATGTTTACGCAACTTGTGCTGGCGGGCACTGTGCATAGTGGAGGTAACGGCTCCCGATGTGTGGTGACTTCCTATAAAGCTTAGCGCCGGAAAAGCGGCGCGGGTAGAAATCTATATATATTCTTTATCTAATTTTAATGCTTCGGACACTTTTAATGTTGTCTTTATACGTATGCGGTCATTTTTACGATATGACGCTAGGAGCCAGAGATGGCTGTACGGAACTGATCGGTTCCCGTACATGGCTTTTTCAAGGAAGCCCCCCTAAGCCTAACTAACTTAACCTAACTTCCTAAGCCCTAACCCTAACTAGCCTAACCGCCTTACGGTCTAACTAACCGTTGTTTAAAAATACGTAACGTTATTAATAGTTCTTCTATTCGTAATCAGGTCCTTGTGACAGATGTCACGTGACCGGTTGTCGTTCCGATATTTGTTTATGGAACTTCTATTACGTAATAGGTCTAGACCTTCGGTCCAGACTCGGATCAAACTATTTTTGCCTCTTACTCATTGTAGATTGTGTACGCCTGTTTACCTTTTTATAGAGTTTGACATCTGTGAGAGATTTTTAATGGCGGCCTTCGGCCACCTGCTGCGGCACTAAAAATACTTTTAGGCTTATTAACGTTGATAACATTATTAGACATGATACGATACTTCTTATCTTCGATAAACCTTCGTACTCAGACACATACTCCTCTCGAATATGTGTGTCCCCTCCTATTTAACCAGCTAGAAAACTGATGAGAGTACCATACTCGAAATACCACCTCAGACTACCTAGTAGCCGGGGGTATTTTTTCTAGTTTATCTCTTCAGTTACTTGTGCGCCCACCAGCGTTTTTACCCCCTAACTAACCTAACCTAACTAACACGTACGCGAACCGGTGTGGGCAGAGGCGGGGGAAGGTGAAAACCCGGTCGACGGCGACGTCGACATGGACACCGAACCCGGGCAACTTAAAATAGTAGCCTGGCGTGAAAGCCCCCGGACGAAAGAAGTCGTTAGACGACTTATTTTAGACTTGCCATCTATCGGAATGCGCATCGTTATGTTAGCACAAGCCGCCGAAGATAGGAACGCCGCAACTCAAGCGGCTAAAAAAGTCTTAAAAGCCAAGGCAGACGTGGAGATGGGTGACGCAACCGCTGTAAACGCGGGACCATCCTCCTCCAACAAGAGCGTTAAGGCTCTTGTCGACAAGGCTGTCGCTGCTGCCTTAAAAAATGCTTCTGGCCCCGCTTCCAAGGGGCCGGTCAAGAAGGTACGGACCTCGGTCCCTCTATCGACTCAACTGACCCAACTCCATCTAGAACGCCGCCAAGTCCAAGGGCGGCAAAGGAAAGGAGAAGAAGGACAAACCCAAGGCCGAAGCCGCTGCCCAGAACGCCGGCAAGAAGAAGACCAAGGGGAAGCCGTCCGGAAAGGGAAAGAAGCATGGCAACGAGAAGTAGAAGACTGGCTCCTCACGCAACCTATCAGGTACGATCACCCATCATCTTGGCCCGATCTTATCTTAGAATTAAACCCTGATAGCGCTGTTCGGATACTGCACACTTTCGTGCCTCTTAACGTACTAGAGGCGAGTAGATATCGATCGTATGTACATGTAGGACCTGGTGTCCAAATAGATGAAACTTCTTCTTCGATTCTTCGTGAATTAAGTCTATCGTATAAATATATGTTCCCCACGCTTCAAAACTCTAAGTTATTGTTAGATGCGTATGAAGACTTCGCCGACAGGCTAAGATGGAAACTCCGCTTTATTTATAAAGCTTTCCATGGGAACTACGAAGACAGACCCTTTGACCCAGACTATCGGATTATTAAAGAGCGTGTGCCCTGTGATCCGATCCCTTACCAAGGAATAGAATCCGCCATTAGTGCCGGTCGCGACTATGTCAGGAATTGTACCCTGAGCGCTATACCGCCTAAAATCAACGAACTTGAAACCACAGTTCCACGAGGCCGAATCTACCGCTGGTTGATAGAACACAATTGCTTGGTTCTTCCAACGGATAAAAATCTAGGCGCTTGCGTCGTAACGGTTAACTGGTACAAGGATCAATGTATGCAACTATTAAGTAATAGACTAGACTATGAAATAATTGACGATGCAACTCGTCTAGCCATACTATCGAGACAACGAATTTCCATACTCGCGTTAAGCGACTTGGCGGCAAATGCTTTAGGGCACCAGCAGCTAAGTGCGTTCTTACAACAATTTATTGTTGGGGTGGAGGAAGGCGAAACTGAGGATGACGCTCATATGCGTGTTAAACTCCCAAAGTTTTACGGTATTCCAAAAATACATAAGGTACCGACCAAATTTAGGCCGATCGTACCTTGCCATTCTGCAATGCAGAACCCCGCTGCTAAATTCGTCTCAAAATATCTCAAACCCATAATAGAATCATCTCCATATATTCTTGGCGGGTCGAAGCAGTTAGCTCAGCTTCTTAATCAATTTAACGAGATATCAGGCAAACGTAAATTCTATATTGTCACCGGCGATGTGGTAGCTTTCTACCCCAACGTTCCTGTCGACAAAGGTATCGAGGCGGTCTTAGACCTATGGGACGAGCATTACGCTATTGATCCCGAACCTATTCCACGCCATATGCTCGAACTCGCATTAGAAGTTGCCTTAAATAACCTTATCGTCCAATTTGGCGAACAAACGTACAAACAAACCCGTGGCTTAGCCATGGGCGTAGCGTGCTCCCCCGATGTTGCAAACTTATTCGGGCATTTCCATGAAGCGCTCATTGTACCTAATCTTAACAAATTACTGTTCTATAGACGGTATATAGATGACGTGTTCGCATTAGTCGAAGCTAATTCAGAAATAGAAGCGTATAATTATATGCGCGATAATCTTGTTTTAGAAGGCTGCCAAATCGGTTGGGAAGTCTCTCAGCATCACGCTGTATTTTTAGACATGTTTGTGTATCGTGATCCATTCACTAACAACGTAGAACACATGCCTTATCGTAAGAGACTAAACCATTTCGAACGAATCCCCTGGGACTCAGCACACCCATATGACGTGAAGAAAGGCACGTTCATAGGTGAGCTAAGCCGCCTAGCCACTTTGTCCAGTAAAATAGAATACTACCGGACCGCGATCTCAGATCTATGCTGTGTTTACATATCGCGAGGCTATCCGGCATCGGTTATTAATAACTGGTCTAGACAGTACGCTACCAAAAAATGGGAAGCACGTCTATTGACAAGAGCGGTATCAGAGGATCCCATTCTTGTAGTCAAAACCGAATTTAATACCGCATGGGATTGGTTCAGCATTAAAAGCTTAGAGGATACCATTATGCATAAGCTAAATCGTTATAGGAACGATTTCGTGTCCGGTGTGTATGGGACGCAAAACACACCGGTGTACCAAGATAGATTGACCGAATGGCTCGTGCCCGCTCACGCTCCGGCTCCTGACGTACTCGAACATCTGGGCCTCCCACGGGAAGCACTTTTGATTAGGGACGTTAGTGTAGTAGGCGGCGTTAAAGCCGAGTCGGCCGCGATATTAGATCTTGGCAATTATGTAATGGGAAATGCAAGGTGGCTTGTATCGCGCAAAAGAACACAAAATTTTGCCGATCTAGCATCACTCTGGAGAACTTCCCTCCTCAAAATAGCATTAGAACAGGACGATTTTATTCCTCCTGTTGAAATATAGATATACACTTAGCGTGCGCGCCACAGCGAAGCCCTACGGAGGGTCCCTAAGTGCAGGTAACGCAACCATACGAACGAGGGTGAAGCTAAGTTCGAAAGTCCTCTCCGTCCGGCGGGTTTCCTCCGGGAGATTTGCCTTGCTTTAATGCAAAGGATGGCGGGCTAAGTGGTGAATTGACATCGACCAGAAGGGAGCTACTCCTACTGGGTTCAGTCATGCGCGTATGTTTACGCAACTTGTGCTGGCGGGCACTGTGCATAGTGGAGGTAACGGCTCCCGATGTGTGGTGACTTCCTATAAAGCTTAGCGCCGGAAAAGCGGCGCGGGTAGAAATCTATATATATTCTTTATCTAATTTTAATGCTTCGGACACTTTTAATGTTGTCTTTATACGTATGCGGTCATTTTTACGATATGACGCTAGGAGCCAGAGATGGCTGTACGGAACTGATCGGTTCCCGTACATGGCTTTTTCAAGGAAGCCCCCCTAAGCCTAACTAACTTAACCTAACTTCCTAAGCCCTAACCCTAACTAGCCTAACCGCCTTACGGTCTAACTAACCGTTGTTTAAAAATACGTAACGTTATTAATAGTTCTTCTATTCGTAATCAGGTCCTTGTGACAGATGTCACGTGACCGGTTGTCGTTCCGATATTTGTTTATGGAACTTCTATTACGTAATAGGTCTAGACCTTCGGTCCAGACTCGGATCAAACTATTTTTGCCTCTTACTCATTGTAGATTGTGTACGCCTGTTTACCTTTTTATAGAGTTTGACATCTGTGAGAGATTTTTAATGGCGGCCTTCGGCCACCTGCTGCGGCACTAAAAATACTTTTAGGCTTATTAACGTTGATAACATTATTAGACATGATACGATACTTCTTATCTTCGATAAACCTTCGTACTCAGACACATACTCCTCTCGAATATGTGTGTCCCCTCCTATTTAACCAGCTAGAAAACTGATGAGAGTACCATACTCGAAATACCACCTCAGACTACCTAGTAGCCGGGGGTATTTTTTCTAGTTTATCTCTTCAGTTACTTGTGCGCCCACCAGCGTTTTTACCCCCTAACCTAACATGTACCGAATTCATCTCCAATAGCCTGCAATATGGCATCCTGTGTTGGACTGTGCGTCACAATATTTGAGCGGGGATATGTGTTTGCATGTTTGATAAGATGCAGGAGAGTCCATCGCTGCTTTGCAACAATCTTCCAAGCTTCCGAAATGTTCCCAGAATCGTGCCTTTGAATCTTCGAACTTGCTTCGTTTTCCATCGCCTTCCAGATAGCCACATCAGGATCCTCACTTTGACTTCTTTGAACTGTTGCACCCATCCGCTCATCCCACTCATTCCAGTCCTTGTACCCGCAACTGAGGACCAGCTGATTGCGAGCCACGTCCATGAATAAATCCCGAACGATCTCACTGATAGCACTTCTCTCCTGCATGATTTAGGATTGAGTGTGGAAGATGGACAAAAAACTACCAGAAGACGAACGCTTGAAATAACCAACGTCACCGAAACTCTTCAAGATGTTACTTCTGAGAGGGATCGTGTTGATGTATATGATGTTGATGCACAGGGCGAAAGTGGGTGGAAAAGAGATCAAAACAAATACCGTAGTTTCATATACTCAGTCAGAAGTTATCCGGATTTCGGACCGATTTTTTGCACCGATGTTGCCACGTCGGAGAATCACTCCAGGTGAACAACGGACATTGCAGGAGAATGTGAGAGGGTGCGAGAACATTATGGAACGCATAATCAACACCACCATCTTGTATGCATCTCAGAACAATGCGCTCATGAGGTGCGTGAAGCTCAAGTTTAAGGTGGACGATAGGTTACGATTCGATTGCCAATTTACCTGACTTAATTTGAAGTCCGATGAATGTTTGTTCTAGTCTTCTGAACTATTTGTCAGTACACCTTTTATAACTCAAATACTCCCCTCACAAGAGGTCACGAACGGCTCTGTACTTACATGGACATAGTTTTACTGCTCTAAGATTTGATTACGGACCGACCCTGGCCTGACTCAGTCTTAGAGACAATAGACGAATTCATGCCTTTACAATATATTATTCAAATGGAGCATCGGTAAGTCCGTCAGAAGAATGAAGTATGCTTCTAATGAGTGATCTGTGCTTCGTCCGCGGTCCAGTTTAGGTTTATAAGCAGTGAGTATCCACTGCTGTGAACCTTGTCGACTTGCATCCCTCTTACATAGCCCTATCACGTTCCTTAGATGCCCAACCCTCAAGGAAGAAATGGGTAAGCTATTGCTCGCAAGTGAATTGATGCCAGTGCTAGCAGCTGTCATATATTTAATGCCTAAGTTACAGCTTCGGATGAAGCTATACGACCGCTAGTGGAACGATTTGTTGCAAGTGGCTACACCAACCCGGAAAACATGTCTCGTCTTCGAGAACAAAATGTAAATATATCGTACGTTGCATCCTTATCTCAGGCTGCTGTAGCACCTTGTGGGGCGGTACATCCATGACTTTACGCAGTCACCGCTTGGCGCAGGTGCAGCAAAGCGAAGAGGGAGAGCAAACTCGCATAGTGGATCGCGTTGGACATTCTCGTTTTCTTTGCTTATACCCTTGTCTTTGCTCGTTCTCACATTTGTAACTTTTAAGTACTTCTGCAAGGAGACCCATGTCATAGTATCTCAACACACATGACAAGGTGCTACTGGTATACTCAAGTCCGGAGGCGGAAGATACCTGAGAGTGCTCTTCATAGGCAACGAGGTTTCGGTGCTCGAAAAGTCTCGCTCAACATAGGTGCGCCAGAGCAAAAGCAACGCCATCTTCGAGTCAGTAGCGCCTGTGTATGCGTCCGTGAATATCACCCAGCAAAGGTGATCCAAGACGATTTTCACAGGGCATTTTTTGACTTCATCTTGAGCCAAGGCTCATATATCATATCTCTCTTGCAGGTGTCCACTCGTATAAGAATAATTCAGCAAACAATATGTTTCAATATCTCTCAAATAAGATCGTCAGAGTCCATTCAGCGCCTACTACCATTATCTCTATGACACGTGTAAGTAAAAACCATTCACTGTGGATTCTACCAACCACTTCTGTCCGTAGTCTTCTAGTAAGTACAGCCTTGCCACTCCCATTATCGAGTTGCTGAGATTCAGTAGGAAAAGGCAGATTTGATCTCTCATCTGGTCTATTTCACCCTTACCAAACGTAGGGTCCACGCATCGTATGGCTGTTTGGCTTTTCTTTTGTCAGGTCAGTCTCAGCCTTTTCAACTGCAGAGTTCACGCATCGCATGGCTTTTCTTTTGTCAGGTCAGTCTCAGCCTTTTTAACCGCAGAGTTCACGCATCGCATGGCTTTTCTTTTGCTGAATTTGGCTTTTCTTGTGGGCGTTTCTGACTATTTCTCTGGTCGGGTCAGTCTCTCTTGTTGCAAATACAAAGTCCGCGCATCGCATGGCATCTCTTTTGCTTTTGGTGAAGTTTTGACGATGCATTTGACATGACATTTGAGGCAGAAGAGACAATGTCAAAGAAAGAGCCACCACCTCCAAACAGAGGTACAGGACTTGTCCTTTGTGGCAAAAAGACACCTGGATCTACAAGCAGCCATCGCAGCAAGCCTGCCAAATATGTGACATGTTGAAAGCAAATCCCCAATAGGTGACAACCGCATTTGTAAGCCGCAATACAATTGCTGGTAGCACAGAGGCGAATCAGGCAAAGAGAGCAGGGATTGGAGGAAGAAGACTGCATGAAAAAAGAGGGAATAATCACCGCAGTCCGAAACGCACTGCAGTCATCCCATCCGACACAACTCCATCACGTGTCAGAATGATCTCCGAAAAGAGGAAGACTTGTGCACGATGGTCGCCACAGCTTCAATGCATAGCGTCGGTCTGAGAGTATCGCGAGTCAGTCAGAAATGGTGCGACCATTGACAAAAGGCAGCTCTTCTTACACTTGCCAGTAATGTCAGGCGGTTGTATATATGAATGATCTCGTCTGCATCACCGCAGAATAGTACAATCGCTCATTAGTTGGCCATCAGAGGAACAGATGAAGGGCTTCAATGCTCGCTCATCTATAATGGGTTGGTTAGACGAGGCAAACCGCGCCTGATGTTTTCATGTGAGACGAAGTGAAATTCGACCGGCAAATTGAAAAACCAGCAAACCTCAACCTCACAAAGCGGACATTTTGGTGACCCTCACAACAGCAACCGATGCGGAGTGCACACGCCAGAAATACTCACTGCCCTGTGAAAAGCAGGAAGAGTCGTACCCCAAGCTACACAATTTCAACCTACCATAGAATCGTTTGTCAGTAAAAGGAGACGCGTGCCCAAAAGTCGGACTCGCGTTTGCGTGCAAGGAGAGAGAAACACAGATAGACCTACCTTAGTTAACCAGAAGTAGATAAGGCAGTAGCACTACGACATGCGGAGCCAGAGCCACCAGGAACGCACACAAGGAGCTGGCAGTCATGGGACACGCGCAGCGAAGAAAACAACCTGGAATGAACAATAGAAATTAGTACACAAGAGCTCCTCTCAGGCGTTGCAGCCCGAGAATGCTCTTAAACAAGCAGATGAAGCGCCTCCCCACTCAACGGGAGTCTTGATTACACAAGACACGCGCCTCTTTACAGAGAGCGCGCGCGGTGGGCAGTTGGAAGAAGCACCCAGAGGCAATACAACACGCTAAGATGAGAACGTCGGATGAGTGCACAAACAACAACAGAAAACGAAAAAAACATACCAGAGGGATGAACGGACAGTAGTAGTTAGAGAGCAAAGCAACATTCCAACAGCAGCTCCTCTCAGGCATTACGGCCTGAGAATGCTCTGCCCTTTGAAAAAGGCAGAGGGAGCGCCGCCCCACCCAACGCGAGTCTTGATTACACAAGACACGCGCCCCTTTACAGAGAGCGCGCGCGTTGGGCAGTTGGAAGAAGCACTCAGAGGCAATACAACACGCTAAGATGAGAACGTCGGATGAGTGCACAAACAACAACAGAAAACGAAAACAGACATACCAGAGGGATGAACGGACAGTAGTAGTTAGAGAGCAAAGCAACATTCCAGCAGCAGCTCCTCTCAGGCATTACGGCCTGAGAATGCTCTGCCCTTTGAAAAAGGCAGAGGGAGCGCCGCCCCACCCAACGCGAGTCTTGATTACACAAGACACGCGCCTCTTTACAGAGAGCGCGCGCGTTGGGCAGTTGGAAGAAGCACCCAGAGGCAATACACCATCCTAAGGTGAGAACGTCTGATGAGTGCACAAACAACAACAGAAACAAAAAAAGACATACCAGAGGGATGGACGGACAGCAGTAGTTAGAGAGCAACGCAACATTCCAACAGCAGCTCCTCTCAGGCATTACGGCCTGAGAATGCTCTGCCCTTTGAAAAAGGCAGAGGGAGCGCCGCCCCACCCAACGCGAGTCTTGATTACACAAGACACGCGCCCCTTTACAGAGAGCGCGCGCGTTGGGCAGTTGGAAGAAGCACCCAGAGGCAATACACCATCCTAAGGTGAGAACGTCTGATGAGTGCACAAACAACAACAGAAACAAAAAAAAAGACATACCAGACGGATGGACGGACAGCAGTAGTTAGAGAGCAAAGCACCATTCCAGCAGCAGCTCCTCTCAGGCATTACGGCCTGAGAATGCTCTGCCCTTTGAAAAAAGGCAGAGGGAGCGCCGCCCCACCCAACGCGAGTCTTGATTACACAAGACACGCGCCCCTTTACAGAGAGCGCGCGCGTTGGGCAGTTGGATGAAACACCTACAATACAAGAAGCGGCAGTGGTCCTACAAAGGACGTGCGCAGCCAAATACATGACAGATAGACACAGGCTGAAATGAAATATGGTGGTTAGTCAGTACACAAGACCAAGAAAAAAGACCTACCAAACATATGATTAGCAAAATAGAAAAAGGCGTCAGTCCAAGAAGGACATGCAAAGCCATATAGCCCAAAGAGCCGGCAGTCCAACAAGGACATGCATAGGAAAAGAGATTGCGACAAAAAAAAAAGAAAAGAAAGAGCCGGCAGTCCAACAAGGACATGCATAGCAAAAGAGATTGCGACAAAAAAAAAGAAAAGAAAGAGCCGGCAGTCCAACAAGGACATGCATAGCAAAAGAGATTGCGACAAAAAAAAAAGAAAAGAAAGAGCCGGCAGTCCAACAAGGACATGCATAGCAAAAGAGATTGCGACAAAAAAAAAAGAAAAGAAAGAGCCGGCAGTCCAACAAGGACATGCATAGCAAAAGAGATTGCGAAAAAAAAGAAAGAAAGAAAGAGCCGGCAGTCCAACAAGGACATGCATAGCACAAAGAGATTGAGAAAAAAAAAAGAAAAGAAAGAGCCGGCAGTCCAACAAGGACATGCATAGCAAAAAGAGATTGAGAAAAAAAAAAAAAAAGAAAGAGCCGGTAGTCCCATGCTTAAATATATATATAATCAGAGCAAAAGATGAACACAACACCAAAAAAGACTCACAGCAAAGACGAACAGCGGTTGTGGAGCGCCACCACCCGACGCGACGCTTGATTACACAAGAAAAGATACACGTCCCTTTACAGGGATGCGCGCGTTTAGCGGTTGGATGGAGATGGCAAATGGTGGAAAGGAAGGGAAAGAAAGGAAAAGGAAAATGAACCACGACCAAATAAACAAAAATATAATAGATACAAACACATGTTGAATCGGAGCCACAAATATAACGTGATCCACAAACAACAATTGTTCGCCAAAGATATGAGTCAGCGGGTGAATACCGGAGACTAATCCTTATTGCGAAAGACTTCATTTTTCAATTACTAATTCTAATATTGTGCGAGTGGGGTAAGGTAGAAATATATTCGAATAAAAGACATGATACAACAAAAAGAACGCCCGTGCATACCATTCATGGGGCATAATGGTGAAAAGAACAATGTATTGTTGGATTGTGGTGACATGCGGACCGCCTACTTTGAAAGGCCGATCCCAAGGTCCATACCTCGTGGCTTTACAGATAACGCTGATCTCAACGTGGTGACGCGGGGTTGAATATTGAATATTAGTGTTTGTAGGTCCTCATTGTGAAAATTTTGCTTTCTTTTGACACGCCCACCATCGTCCATAACAGCGTTCTCTTCACAAACTTCCTAGTCGACATGGCTCGAACGAAACAAACGGCAAAGAAGTCCAAGGGTGGCGAGGCTGCCCGCGTGCAGTTGAATGTGCCTCTGCAGGAGGAGAGGATCATCCAAGTCGGGCTGATGGATGTCTGCGATGCCGGGGAGCATAACGACGTGCGTTTCGAAAATTTACTCACATAACAATGTCACTAACATGACAAACACAAAGTACTGCATTGTGTGCCGCGACGGATCTATGACCACCGGGTCGCTGTTCTGTTGTGAACTATGCCCGCGCGTGACTTGCACCAGATGCCTGGATATCCCCGAAGATTTCAAGCGGGTGGTTGCAGGCGACGATGTCATATTCATATGCATCAGTTGCCATCTTGCGAGGCAAAACAAGGACGGGCCAAATTTGCCATATTTTGTAAGTTCCCTCGCGACAGCAACATCATTAACGCTGAGACAACTAAATATTCTATAGGGTTTCTACATGGACGACCAGGCTGTCCTTCCAGGATTCCTTCCCATAAGAGCTACGTTAGAAATATCCCAGCGTGCTCAAATATCCTCGGCTCCAGTACTTCTCATCCACCTGAAGCTGGTGGGTTGTGAAACCGCCGGATGTCCCTTTTCCCTGGCGCACGAATTCCTTCAACCTTACTTTCCTCGAGGTCGCATCGAATACCGCGAGGTAGAGTTCGACATCGCGACCGATACAAAAGCTACCGCCTATAATCGAAGCTGTAACAAAATGTTGCGTGACCTTTCGAAGCAGGGCCGTTGGGAGCGTGTTGTGATTGGTATTACCAATCACACAGACAACGAGAACGGCGACCCTTTCGCTGGGTATCGTGATGGACAGTATATTGCCGGAGAAGTCAAAGAGGTTCGTCTATTTCCCGTCCTTACATGTCGAATACTAACCATCTCTTAGTTCATGAATATTATCCTAAGCCCATGGCAGCTCGGCATAGATCGTGCTCAAGAGTCCTACCTTTGGCTGTTCTCATGCGGCGGAATGGTAAATAACTCCCAATCTTTCAGAGCGTTACAGAACGGGGTGCTTGCGTAAGTTTTTCCTTTCACTTGTCATTCAAGTGAGTTTTGTTGAACAACGAACATAGGCATCGTATATCAGCTAGCTTCGCCTTTGCTGCTCCACGATTCCAGCCGAACTTCACCAGTCATCTCCTTCTCGCCTTCGCTGAAATGGTCCTCATCGAACGGTTCCGGGTCGCAGACATATTCCCGCAGATCCTGAGTCAATCAAACAAGCTGGGCCGACACACAGATGTCATTTTAATGACGAAGAATACCGATGATGGCGGTCTTACCGTCGTCAAGTTCAGCTGGGCCCACGTCGACCACAGGCCTTGGGGTCAAACGTTGCCACTTCAATGTCCAAATTGCGGATTCGTCGATGCCTGGTTGCCTGCAAATGTTAGCGGGGTGTATTACTTCCAATGCACCAACGTTCGTTGCAAGAAGATACTGAAATTTGCCCAACCGCCTGGCTCGAAGAAATTGGTCCCAGGGAAGACGGGCAGCAGTTGCTGGTTAGCCGTACCCCTCCCTGTTCATTATTTCTCATGAAGCTTCCTTCCGTACATCATAGTGTGTAGTTACTTAGATCTACAGGTTTTTGAGATTCATTAGTGCAACGTTCGATCAATCTTTCATGTCCTTTTTTACTTGTAACGCCACTGGCGAAGAGGATTTTGAAATAAACCGTCGCACATATGGAATCTGCACTGCTTCAATCATACTGCATGGTATTGCCATGTCATCTATGTCAAGCAACCATAAGGCTCACCACCAGTCCAGTCAAAGACATCTCCTCATCGCTGGCAGAATAGAATTACACGTACTCCTTAGTATGTATCCAGTATCTATATAACTTTGTATATGCTAGTACCACGCCGCCTGTTCCACTCACCATCATCCATCACTATGGCCGCTGTATTACACGGTCCTATAATACCTACCCACCCTTCCCCATTTCGGAATACCCAGAGTGTTCCTCATTCGCGAATGGGCTATCATCCTGCACCTTCGGTCAGTTTTTAGTAGCCGCTCGTCATATTCATATCCTTAATCATACATACATAGGCACCACCTCATAAAGCTCAGTCTACTCAACCCACGACGAGACATTCTGACCCATTCTATGGTCATGAGCAGGTTTCCCCGTTTGTGAGGTTTGAGCGTTCATCACTTTTCATTTGAATTTCTTCGGTGCTCTGTGGTGGATTCTACATACTACTGAGCACTTATCGGTGCTGAGCAATAACTCAAACACTTCTATTCAGCACATGCACCAAGTAGCTTTACGAAATGAATGCCATTGCCACGGCAAAACAACAGTGGCTCATCGCCCATGGCATGTCCAAATTGTGTTAATGGAAACTCAGACAGGGTATAACTTCCCTCGACGTATGTATACAAGATTAACCACACGGATTGATGCTCACAAGACTTCATGGAAGCCAGTTTTTTGTGTTATGTAGAACACGAATGTTGAGAATCAAAATCAGCGCGGTGAAGGCTTCTTTCCATGTAAAATGATATTTGTTTGCCCTGAGTCGTTTGTGTTTATAGGTTCCAGGGTAACGATGATGAATCTGGGGTTGATTCGGACCGAACGATCGGTTATTCGGATCGACAAGCCTCATTGCTGGGAGTATATATTCAATGAAAAGAACAACGATTGAAATTTTCATTCTTCCTTACGTCCATCCATCAACCAAGTCTCTCGCGACATATCATCATGCCTCCGAAGAAAACAGACAAACGCAGCAAAGTCTCCAAACTGCCCAAGCAGAAAGCTAAGGTGGGCGCCATCTTCAGTGGCATATCTAGGGCTGCTCCTTGCTCTACCGACATCGGCAGTATGGTCAATGTAATCGGTGGTCCATCCCGATCCCTAAGCGTCTCCAATCTTCTTGGTCAGGACAGGATATTGCAAGAAGAGCAAAACGTCTTCAAGTATCCGGCTCCAGGTCCAGTACAAACTGAAGCCAACGAGATTTCCTCTCCAATCGTTCAATTGGGCACGTTTTGTCACTTTTGTTGCGACCAAACCAATTCACCCTACAGTCACGAGTGCGTCAACTGTGGGGCGATCGTTTGCGAGCAGCACCTCCCTCGTAGCAGTGGCTGCATTTATTTGAAGTCTGTAGAGGTATTGGAATCCGAGTTTAGGTGCCCGATCTGCTCGAGGATCGGACAAGGCAAGGATAAGCCCTTGCGTTACGCATTCATTGGCTTTGGGAAGCGGAAGAAAGCCAAGATGGCCTGGCCCATGGCCATCGTTAATCTGAACCTGGAGTCGATGAAGGACGACTATTTGGCCAACACCGTGACTCTAGAAATGCAGAACCATTACAGAACGTTTCAGAACAATGCAAGTCCAAATGATATAACCTCTTGTCTCACATTTACGATTCTTGTTTTCCAGTTGTATTACACTACGTTGCACATGCGAGGTGGTGCGCACCAATCTGAGTCAAAAAAGCTGGCTCCCGGTGTAGAGTTCATCACTCGCAATCTTAAAGCGGGCTATCCTCCCAACGTTTTCCTTCTGGTGGACACGCATTCCGACGAATTCACAGGGATGCTTCAGCATACCGGAGGCCACACAGGTGGCACAAGCACCACGATAACCGAAATACTCATGGCTTACCTTGGAGAAAGGTTCTTGGCCATGATGCGAGAATCTTCCGCGCTAGCGAGGGGCAACAAGACGGTGGTGAAGACTATCAATGGGAGTGACCATTGGTGCAATCTCACCGCTGGTTCTAGGGGTGGATGGAGGGGGTTGATCATGGTTAGCTGCGGACCTGCCATCAGGGTGAGCCACCACTTTGAGGCAGTGAAGGCATTGGTGGAAAGGCGCGTGCTTTCCTTCACACAATCTTAGGTTTGACTGACTGTTTTGCAGCAATTTAGTCGACTTCGTGGTGGCATTCGGAGGATCGGGCACGTTACCATCCATGATTTCCACTGCAGTGCGCTCCATCATTGCAGACATAGGCGTCTTCGGAGGGACCGATGTTTGGCCCACCATGTGCGAAATTCTGATTTCCAGCAACGATTTCCTCGACTACACAACTGCGGTTCTTGTGTTCGCAAACACGGTGGACAATAAGAAGGTAGCTGAATGTCGTCAAATTAGCAAGGACATTCCAGCAACACGGGCATTTGGTTATGAGTTCAAATCGTGCCCTACCCCAAAATGTCAGCCAGTCCCAGCTGATATGCGAGTTCACAACAAAGGCCAGAAAGTTCAGCTTCGATGCTCCTTATGCAAATGGAGGTCGTCTTGGGTGAAGAACCATGAGGGAAACAAACACTTTCACCAGGTATCAAGGTCGCGTGCTCCTCAGCTTTTTTGGCATCACTTCCCCGCATCCACGGACCTACAGAACTTTTTCGTGGAAATCACTAACGCTGAGCGCGCTCAAGCTTCGGCATCCGCTTCTGGAGGGCAGAGCACGAAAGGTTGGGAGAAGAAAGGAAAGAGTAAACGTCAAGGCGGAATAGCTATGGAGATCGAGCAAGATTCACACATGGCCGATTATGATAGTGACGATGAGTCCATGGTGTTTGATTGATGTCCCACCTGCCCATTTCTACCTTTCCTTGAACACGTCGCATATATCAATTCGCTTTGTATACAAAAGATATAACTGCTATCGATATCAAAGTTGTTTGTGAATGTACTCAGCATTGCATTGTGTTACCTGTCATGATATTTGGATGGCTCTCTCAATGATCTCAGAAAAACTGACGTGCTTTAAGTATATGTGTGCTAGGACAAGTTCAGATCCTGCGTCATTGTCATAAATGTCCATATATCTGAAACCTCCATCTTGTTTCGTTGAAGAAGACCCATTCGTTGTGAAATGAGCCTGGGCTGTCATATCTCATTTCACAACGAATGGGTCTTCTTCAACGAAACAAGATGGAGGTTTCAGATATATGGACATTTATGACAATGACGCAGGATCTGAACTTGTCCTAGCACACATATACTTAAAGCACGTCAGTTTTTCTGAGATCATTGAGAGAGCCATCCAAATATCATGACAGGTAACACAATGCAATGCTGAGTACATTCACAATTTGAGGCCAAATGATGGCAACTATTATTTTTGGGAAACGCGAAGTTATTAGACAATTAACCTGATCTACGCCGAATCCTTTGTGTTCGTCAAATACACCCTTATGATAACTTCTGGACTCGATAAACTTTGGAACTTTGCTGAAATTTATGTAGGTTAGAACGCTCTGCCCTAATCGGTGCACACAGCCCATCTTTGTCTCTCACCGCAACGTCGTCAACGGATGCTAGTGGCTAATACTGCACATAATACACATAGCGGCCTCAACACATATGGTGAGCTAGCTGTGCAGTGTTCTATGGATCCGAGATTGCTCATGGTTTCAAAACTGTTGATCGATAAGCACGAGCGTGAACACCAGGAAGAACAAACTTCGATACTCTCAAGGAACTGGTACTAGGTACCTCCTTTTCACTGCTTGCGAGGTGTATTCATCAAGCGCAACAGCCTGAGGCCTTGTTGATTCATGCCACTACTGTAACTGTCAGTCTGTCCTCCTAATTAGCTCGATGTAATTGAATGTATGCGTCTAGATCATCGTCCATTTCCTCCTCTTTCGCTGGACTACCATTCTGGACGCTGCAACATTCTCAGCCTGGTGAGTGCCTCCGATTCTGACTCTGTGATGGTCATTCCCGGTGGCTCAAATGCTTGGGTTTATTTATAGGATCGTGCAGGCCGGACTCATTCCCTCTTCCACCTCCGACAGGCCATGTTCGTTTTGCTCCAGAGACGTTAGGTAGAGTCTGGCTTCCCCTCCACTGAATCACGCCCACAACTCATCTTGGCTTGATAGTACTGGGCGGCTTGTTTTGTTTGTTTCATTGCATGGCCATGGAGCGGCTGGCCCTTGCTTTATGTAAAGATGGAATGGAAATGAAATCAATCCTGCCCATGACCCTAATGTAGAAAGAGGACAAACAAACACACACGTGTTTTGGATGTTATATAGCCGCCCATTGTTTGGCATCTCCCGGTTCCCATTTTCGTCTAGTCATATTTCGTACATTCATTCTTCAATTTCGCTAACATTCACAAATGGCAGCCCTCAACGTCGCAGGTATGTGCTTTCATTCACATTCAAACAACATCTTGAGTGGCTTGACGCATGGCCAATTTCCAGGCAATCCTATCACCAGTGGAAAGCGTCCAGCTGGAACTGTGCTCCTCGAGGAGCCTATAAAACGTTTTCGAATTCCGACTGTGAAAGCCGAATGCATCATGGACGACAGCATCGATTTGGTGACTTATTGCGCACCTGAGGAGATCGACATCATCGACGCTGAAACAGGGCAGAAGTATCAAACTTGTCGCATCCCTGTCATGATGAGCGGCGTACTCAGAGGTTTTGTGCCGCTCCCCAGGCGATACGAAGGGGTATGGTTGGAATTAGCTTACAATATTGTCATGTTCAGGTGCACATGGAAGTTTTGGGCGGAGGAAGAGAGAAAGGCAAGGAGAAGGCAACACAGGGACAATGCTGCCACATTGCGTCGCACAACTGGCACGCAGCTCGCGCAACACATGTTGGCTAGGTTGATCGCCGTTCGAGAATTGGTCAGCTGGGAGCATGATACTGAAAAGTCCGGTCATGAGAGGGTCCGAACTCTAGACGAATGGAAGATTCGATCGTCCCGCGACATGTTTAACATTCCCTACGATAAGGTGCCAGTCGCAGATCGCAAGTTTCTGGCTGCGGATCCTATCAGAGCAGAAAACCTCGCGCTGTTCGGTAAGTTCGTCAACTGTGGTGACGCTTTTACAACATTGATAAATATATATATATATGTTTGCGTCTATGTAGAAGGGGATTGGAACCTGGACGAAGAGGGCAAGAGGATGTTGTCACCACCTGAAGACCTTGCGGAATGGATTCATGGCGAACTCGAAGAATTTGAGGAAACGTTTAACACTATCATCAAACCTCAAGCTCTGAAAGATCTCAAGTCATCTGGTATTTATCGGCAAACTCAATACGAACAAGGGGCAAGGCTTCCGACGCAATGGCATGAGGGCCATGAACCTCATCCTTACTTTTGGAGTGTGAAACAGTGGAATTGGACGGCTGCAGGTGAGAGGCTAGATATTGTACTATTTCATCCCTCGCTGGACAATGTGAATCTTGCAGGGAACGATGTCTGGCACAAGCCTATTGACTTTCTGTATTACGTTCTCAAGGAAGACCCGCCTTACACTCAGTTCGAGGAGTTCACGCAAGATCTGGACGCTCTATTCAACATGGTCGTTATAGAGCCTGCCTTGCCAAAGATTCATGGACTCGCCCACCAGCTTTGGTACGGAGAACGGACTTGGAGAGAGTTCGTGAAGGCCTTGTTGGACAACCACCTGCAAATTCGCGGGGCTGTCACTACCACATCGGAGCAAAGAGGTATATAATCATTGTATCTCATGTTTTTCTTTTGATATGCAAACCGTTATCTGTCTAGACCCAAACAACGTTTTTGACAACTTCGACGGTCGTTTGGTACTGGAAGGTTATGTTCGTCGGCACAATTTGAGCCCAGAGCAACCTTGGGACGACTCGGACGTAATGGTATGGTCGTCTCTGAAACGAGTCTACGAGAAACAGTACAAGATAGGTTGCAAATGGATGATTTCACAAATCATACAGGGCCACAAGGTAACAGATGTGATACGGGCAGCGGGGCCATGGTGGATCGAAAGGCAGAGTAAGCATTGCCCTTTGTTAGTCCTTGATGTTGTTTGATTTACGTCCCTTGATGATGGCAGAGAAGCTGGCAGAGAAGGCGGGGGCAGAGGCGAACACTAACACCGCTGAGAATGAAGATCATGCAGGTCAAGCTGGTGAGAAAAAATTGTTGCGCCCCAATAAACTGCTAATCTGAACGCCTGTAGTTCCTTCTGGACAGGACAAGGAAATGCAGCAGGACAAAGATCTTCACTCGTCGAGCACTGGGCCTGACGCCCTCGATGAAACAATGCAAAATGGCACTGGTAAGAATTTCTCTTTGTGTTCTTTCATCTTTGAACCTGTTCTGAATCTGATATTTGCTAATTCCTTCAGATCAATCCACGAATGATGTGAACATGGAAGATGACGGTGGCGTGCAGGGATCTGCTCAGTCTGGAGAAGAGAATGAGCACAACGGCCAAGCAAATGGGACGTCGGACGCTGCGACGGAGAATCGTGCCTCTGACGACCCCGCTAGGG